CCTTTGCGGTCTCCAGTGCAGTTCGAAAAGACTGTCCTATATCCGCATTCCTTTTCGGAGTGCTTTGTTCTGTCTAGAAAACGGTGGGTTCGAACTCCTTCGAAAGAATAGAGTCCTTGACTTATAATATGCCGATGACATCGCCTTGCTGGATGACAACACATAGGCAATCCAACACGCTTTGAACCGCTTTGCGATCGAGGTATCCAGGTATGATATGTGCTTTGCGCCGTCCTAATGCAAAGTTCTTGTTCAAGATTCGCAGGGGCCTGTATCTACACTCACCCTTTCTGGTGATCAGCTGGAAGTGGTTAAGAGCTTTAAGTACCTTTGGAGCTTGATCGCAGCTGATGTTGGTGTTGGAGAGGAGCTCACATCACGAATAACGTAAGCTAGAGCAGATTTCGCCAACCTGCGCCACCTATGGCACCGCCCTGACACTCGACTGCCTCTTAAGGGAAGGTTGTACATCGCCGCGGTTCGTTTGCGAAACCTGACCCCTCCACTTTGAGGATGCTAAGTGACTTTCTGTATTCCACCACCCATCTCTCTGAAGCATTGTTCGTATCTGGTGGGAACATAGGGTGAGCAATGACGAGGTTCGTCGTCGTGTGTTGGGTGTGGATTGTCGTTCTCTAAAAGAAGTAATCGTTCTACACCCCCTCCGGTGGTTTTTCAAGTTTTTTCGTCTGCTGTCGACTATCTTTTCGTACTCTCCTTGCTAGACAAGGTTGGAAGAAACGTCGAGGCGGTTAGACCATGACATGGCGTAGAGATATAAAAAACTAGCTTCCGCTTTGGCCTCCGTCGGTGCAACCCGCCTTCCAGTTTGGGGCCCAAGAGTTGAAGGTTGTCGTTCGTTTAAGATGCTGAGAGATATGACCCTGAGCAGAGTAGAGTAGAGTAGGGTCAGTGGCGCGAATGCTGTAAGGTCTGTCTGTTGAGATCCTGTGCCCCGTAAAGATCCACAACAGTAAACTAAAACACAAAAATATCAAAAGTGAAACAAACAGAAAAATGTCATTCTTGTTATTCACTTAAACTGCCTGAACTCCTCTCGCTCTGCTTTGTCCCAACCCCTCATGTTCTGTTATTCTTGTTGCGTTGGCACGGAGCTTGCTCGTAAGCCGGCGACTCATATATCCGCATTGGTGGCCAAAATGCAGCAGTTAAACCACTGCGCAAAAGTGCAATTTTATTAATTGTATGAACTGAACTGAACGCAACCTAATCTTCCGCTGTTTATCGCACTTGTATGTAGTCAATGTCAGTTCAGTTCATTTTGTACAACCATTAACCATGCGCTATCGTGCGCCGGTTTTGGTTGCTATCTTTCGACTGCTTACTTTACTTTGTACTTTACGGCGATTGGATCCTGGAAGAGAATAAGCCGGCTTCATGGATGGATATCCATGAAATTTCTTGGGAGTTAGGTACAGGAAACATCCCCAGCGTCACCCGGCTTTGGGTCGAGTTGGCATCTATAGCCTTTGCACATCCAAGTGCTAACTGCAAGGCAGCAGGAGGGTAGCACATGGTTGCCGGTGGCCCTCTGGGAGGAGCTCATACGCCATTGATAGTTGCTAGCATCCCTGGTGAGTACGGAGTCATTGTCTCGGCCGCTGAGTCGTGAAACAGACTTCGTTAGCACAACATGTACGTTAGACACCGACTCGCCGGGAGTTGAGCTCCCGGTTACCTTCAACCTGGTTTGGTCCTCCTGTCGAGCGGTTTACCGGGGTGTGGCCGTTGTTGCATTGAAACAGCTTCTGGGAGCCACAGGTGAGAGCTGAGCACCCGGTGGAGGCCAAAAAACGAGGGATGCCACAAAAGGACGGACAGCCCTCCGAACCAGAGGTGTTACTCCTACCGGGTACCCCATGCACCCCTATCTTTCGGCTGCCCATTTGGATAAACATTAGGAGAAAGAAAAGAAAAGTTGAAAGTAGGATCGAAGAGAAAATTGGAATGTTCAGTGGACTAATGATATAGAGAGATTGAGAAAATGCACGAACGCCACTGTTTACGACACCCAGCCATATCACTCAGTGTCTCTAACCATCGGCCAAGAACGCCACTGTTTGCGACACCCAGCCATATCGCTCAGTGTCTCTAACCATCGGTTACGACCATTCAAAGAGCCAATTCATTTTTCATTACGTACTTCGGTGTGAATGGCGACAGACGGGGTAAACCCCGCAATGATGGGGACCTACTGTTCAATCTTGAAACTGGTAACTTAAACACTGATGAAGCACATAAAGCCCTGATAGTTTAGTCGTGATATAAAGCCCGACGACGGCCAAGTGGCTTATCACCACGACTTAAACCGCTGATCATAACCACTGTTTTGGTAGACTCACACGAAAGGGATCATAAATTTTTGTATTGCGAAGAATCTCTAAATCGTTCCCCAAGCCGATGCTTGCTTTTATTGTTGTTTTCTCTTTTCGTTTTGTAATTTCAGATGTTATTCGTAAATGTGACATTTTTTTACATAACATTTATAAATAGTTTCAATGTTAAATGTGCAGGGCGGCGATTTTCCGTTGAGAGCACACCAAATGCATGGTTGACGATTGTAAGAACTGAACTAAACTGAATTAGGACAAGGTGTGTTGATTCAGGTGTGCCTTAGCGAACGTGATAAAGGTAGACTGTTAAGACAACAGCTTTGATGTAGTAAGACACCTAAATTAGGGCAAAAAGATTATCTTTTCGTACCACGGAGGTTGCAAAATCTCTTACCGATACCATTAAGCGGTAGGGAGTATGAAGTACTTTTCTGTTTGTGAATCCCCTCCTAGGGGCATCATTTGACTGACTGGACACCAGCCCCCCCCTGTTTGGCGCACAGTCTGTCCTCAGACAAGTGTGAAATATAATATAATAATAAATGAAGCGTGAACTGAAAAGCTAGGAAGCACTGGAGAGCCGTTTCAACCTGGTTGGGTCTCATCAGTAGTACGAATCCATCGACCCGGCCCGGTGGCCGAGTGGGTAGCATGCTTGCGTTCTGCCCATGAGGTCCCGGGTTCGATCCCCAGTTGGGTCGATGGACTCCCACTGCTGATGAGACCCAACCAGGTCCAAAACAGCTGTCCAGTCCTTCCTAGCTTTTCAGTTCACGCTTCATTTGTTATTATATTATATTTCACACTTGTCTGGGGACAGACTGTGTGCCAAACAATTCATCTTGCCATAATCTTTATAAAAAAGAAAATGTCCCATGATTGGCTTGTGGGCTGAGTACTGCCAGATTGCCCAAAACAAGGCAGGTAAATTTTCTTGAGGGATCCATAACCGGAGGCTTCCGCTAGCCAAAGCCAGGTCCGCAAGGCAGCGAGGCGGTGTGTGAAAACCGCAATCTATTTGGAGCCGGTGTACAGTTCATCGGATCATACGCCCTTCAGACGGGGTCAGACGTCCAAGGTGCCCAATACACCTCAATGCCCGATCGAGCCGGTGACCACTGCTACAACCGAAGAGGTGTGGGTGTGGTTCGTACGCCTCCTTATGGTTGGTTTGGAATCAGGGTTTTTGGCCAACTCCCCTAGGTGAACTGCCAGTGGTCCACCAACCCGGATATCGGCTTTTGGTCCTCTCACTTTGGTGGGGAAATACCTCCGCCGCGAGAAGGCAGTGAGTAGGGCTTCCTCACCTGAGGCTATTCGAGAGTCTTGGTCGTATGGGAGCATTTCGTGAGATGCAGGTGCAGGGTGACCAGCCGCAACCCTAGACACCCACCCCCGACCATACTGAGGCTTTTGGAGGGCACGCTTCATTTGGTATATACACGACGAATACACCTTTGATATATGTCTTCCACAAAATGAAAGATAGCATACTCGATAGTCCAGACGATCGTTCGTTGAGCAATAAATTAGACGAAACTACTAAAAGATACCAAAGCCTGCTTTACACCAAAATGGATGAAATATTGTGGGGCACAAATATAAACCCATAGGAGTAAATATACTAGTGGTCATGATTGAGAGCACTCGAATGAGGTTCATTGTGCCTCAATTCGTAGCCTTAATGCATTGTTTTTCTCCAGTATCAAAGCAGAAATGCATGAGGGGACAGCTGGAATTCCTCATGGAGTTTGATCAGTACTCATTCCTATTAAATTACTTCTGGAGATACCTCGTTTTACTTGACGCACACTCAAATGTTCACCTTTAAGTGTTTAAGTGTTTTTAAGCTGTCCTCCACTGGAACATACGCACCGTCATCAAAACTGGTAAATAAAGGTATAACCTGTTGTGTCATATTAAACGTGAAATCGCTGTTCAAACAGTTGCATCTTCAACATTATCTTTCAGGTTCCTGTTCAATTGTCATAAAATAGTTAGCTGCACTATTCAGGTTCGCCATCAATAAGTAGGCAGTTACAATGTACTTCGGTGTTGGTGTTGATAAGTTCTCCGAGCAGAAAGTGCTGTTTGCAGACGTTTCCTAGCCAAGCTAGGCAACATCAGTGCGACTTCGGTTTTTATTTCAGTGGATCACTATCATTTTTCAAAATGCGTTCTCTTGATTCCCTCAAATTATCCAATTTTTGAGAGGATGTACCCTTGTTTTCAACGCTGTTAGTCAAATGGCTGTGAAAACTAGGTATATATCGGACGTTTTATAGACGTGGTGTGCTCTGAGTGATATGTAAAACTCCACTAATGCTTCATTGTCCCGTTGATACACCGTTTCTGTCAGCACGCGAAATGGAATCTGTCCCGTCCTCTGTGATTTGACTCTTCAAACACTGTTCTATTTTTTGTGCACCTTTTTCACCGTCTTATCTAACTGTTTTGATGTACATAGGTAATGCTTTTGCTATATTACGGTAACCTCTATGTCAAGATGTAATCGAGAATCTTCGTCACTATTTCGAATCTTAGAGGTTGATTATTTTCCTTCTGTTTATGTTCATGAATTCGCGTACCGACCCAGCCCGGGAAACATCAGGCGCTTTTGATATCTTTCTTTGTTCTTTTCAGTCCATGTCCGGTGACCCCTTTTCCCGCAAGTCCAGTAGTCCACAGTCATCGACCGAAGTATCGTCTCTACAGGTCAATCGATCGAAGAACAAAGAAGGTAATCTCTCTTGCTAATTCTGTTCATCTCCTGTAGATCTCGAGAAACGATTAAAATGCCGACCTCCGGTCAAGGATTTGATCAATCAAGGCATTCTTCTGAATCGTAAGTTTCTAACTTACGTCAATTCAACTTTTGCTTAGCTTCCATATCACACCCGGATAAAGTTCGCCAGCTGCAGCGTGCTAGGGTAGGTGTACCTTTAAATTTTTAAGCGTGAAATGTGATATTTTCTTCTCGTTTTTTGTGCCTCATTGATAAATTGTTTCCCATTCTTTCAGACAAGCGATATACTCAAGCATAAGATCGAGAGAAGACCAGATCGTCAATCTTTGATCAACCGGCGCATTATTCGCGGTAAGCCATTATTATCCCAGCGTTCATAAGAAAAATATTGATAGAAGATAAACCGGGCACATCCCCGTTTATCAATGAGCAGTGTCACAATTTGGAGAAGTATCGCCTCAAAACATCACTAAGCTCTAAGCTTACAACGCGACCTGGATCTCTGGAATTAATCGAAAAAGGAGTTTTACAAGTAAGCTTCTTTTGAATGCTTTTTTTTAAAATGCACACCTAAATGTGACGAACAACAGACGGGGCGAACCCCATAGTTAAGAGGATCTGCTGTTCAGTGGTGTAAACCGGTAACCCAAGCCTCACGGGACTTGGAGTGGCGAACCACATAAGACCCCAGTAGGTTAGGCCTGTTACTGAACCGGAAGACAGAAAAGCTGCCTACCCGATTAAGATTGATTTTTTATGCCTGTTACTTGTATACAAAAGTGTTGTGGTATCAATCATGTATGTGCCTAATTACGGCCATTCGGAATCGGTAACCTTAATCTGAATGCCTTGTATTCGGTAAATTTTAACTGAATAAGCCCCTAAATAATGGAGGTTTTCACCGCGAAGCACTCCTGAGTTCGCTTCACAAAGGAATGCTATTTTACTAAGGTCATCGTATTGATGTATCTCTGACAGGAAAAAGATCTATATCGAGTTAAGTTTCTTTCGTCACTAACAACGGTTTTCGCTACGAATACCCTTTTGTCACCATACGTGTTCGCTTTCGTCGTGTAAGAAGTATTACAGAAATCACCTACTGGTCTCCTAAATGCTGGTCTGCCAATGAAATCTTGCCTGTCTGAATATGTGGAGAATGCACAAAAAAGCACAATAAAGATTACAAATCTGTCTTTCAAGTTAATGTACGTTTTGCATATCCAAAGTGCAATTTAACGCTAGACTATTCCTGCTATGAAAGCATTTGGTTATAAATAGACTATGGTGAATTGATTCGCGTATCTGAGCGTTTTCATGAAAAATGGCGGCAGCATAGTTATTATTGTGGTCATCAGAAGCATCTCAAAAGCCCAAGTGGTTCACGCTAGACGGAAACTCCTTTGTGATCGACTTATCGTTTTCTCGTGGTTGAATTGTCGCACCTACTGTGCCGCGACTCAGTCAGTTCTATTCTTTGTTTGAGGATGTAAACTGTGCCGGTTGCAAGACCCTAAGTTTTTGCGTGGAAGATATTGAACGTGCAGAAATCTTCGATTATCGATGTTTACATCGTTTGGTGCGGGTTGGGTGGAGTGAGATGTAAGCCGTCGCGTATTCGATAATGATTCAATGGAGAATTCGTTGTCCCATCGAATTCACATGAGTCGGATTCGCTCGTTTGGAAACGTATTGCCTGTATCCAGCTATTGTCTGCGGTACCGCGCCTTATTCGCAGTTACGGCTCCAAGTTGGAAGAACCATGTGGAGGTCAACAGATGACGTGGAAACGAGGCCTGAAGAAAGGCGCCGAGGGATCATGCAGAGAAGTGTCTCTCGTCTTCCAGATTGGGGTCTGAAGGACTCTGTAACTGGTTGCTTGGACACACCGACAGCTAACCGGCGTTCTTGTTGTCATTTCTTATCAGAATGTTTGAAAACGTATGTATACACAATTAGATTTTGCACTCCTTGTGTTAACCATAGAGGTTCACTTTCTTTTTTGTCCCCCCTCAATTAGGCCCAGTACCCTTCCGTTTTGTACATTATCACTTAATTTCGTTGCATTATGAGTTTGGTGGCGATCAGCATCTCGCTGTACGTTGATGGTGATAGACCCTGAGTTTGCTTGCAGAAGACATCCGTTGGCTGGAGGTCTTCGACCGTCGGCTGTTTCTTAGACTGGATTCCGCAAGCGCGCTACTTACACCGAATTTAGTCGTCATGTATTTTAGAGCGTCTTGGCGAAAATTTCACTGTTAAAAAGAGTTTGGATGAGCAAGCTTCTGGTTCATACTCGTATGGAGCGTGTTTAGAAATTGTCTGTCGCACTGCGGTTGCTCCTCTAGACTGGAGACTATCACATGATGGTCAACAGATGAATTGAAGACGGACATAGTGAATACTTGGGGCCGCTGAAAGTTATTTGTATCCTCAACGTCACCTGTCACAATAACTGTACAAGGACAGTACGAGTGGTTACGGGATGTTGTGCTTACATATTTGACCGTGTTCTGTATTGGCCTGATGCAAACACTGAAGAAAAAAACGTCTGTTTTTAACACTTTCAGTCTTCGCTAACAGAACAATGAGAATATTTTATGATTGCTAAATATACCTAACCAAAGGAAATAGAAAGAAAAAGATAAAAGAATGGAGTAATTCCATTTTCCAGCCTGGGATCAAAAGAATTGCAACTAGTTGGTTGGAAACACTGACGAGCATGACAGCCACAACATGGAAGTGTTTTTTTGTTGCCAATGCTTATCAAACCATATTGATTGAAGTTCGCTTCACCATATATCGCTGTTTTCTGATGACTGCTTCCAGACCAATGGGCTCTCTGGGGGCTGATTAACCTTATAGACCTTCGCTTCCAGCAGACAGTGAATAGAACTTCCCACTTACCTTATGCTACTGACTGCATTTTTCTGACATCCATTGGACAGCCTAACAAGATGGTATAATATAAACACTGTAACTATCGGTTCTGGAAGCAATATTCTGACAACTTCAGATTGGAAAACGATGCTTACGCTCAAATCAAAATTGTGTTGTAGGATAACGGAACTCTTGTAATGTGTGATATATTTCGTTAACTACTTTGACACTGTTTGGCACACATTTGGTTTAATAGAGACATCTTATTCCTTTCTGGATATGTTATTATTTTGATCATTTTGATTTTTCCTTACTTGAACGAAAGAAATCATTTTGCAGCTTCTACGTGGATAACAGAGAAACGAATGATAACCTTCATGCAGTGAATTGACTTGATGTGAATCTGGATTATGGCGACATGCATATTGATCATTTCAGTCGCTTCAGTTCTCAACCATTAATCATACGCTTTCGTGTGGCGGTTTTGGTTGCTGTCTTTTGGCTGCTCCTTTGGATGAAAGATTAAAGGGAAGATTAGTATGTTGAAAATAGTATCAAGTTGAAAGTAGTGAATTATTACTTTTAATTTTGATTTACTAACTCCTGCGGGAGGGTAAGTCGGCTTCTTGGATGTTTATAATGATGGCCCATGTATGACGATCGACAACAAGGTTGACGCAGTGTGAGACCCTGTTCTGGTTCCAGCTACGAATTGCATATACAAATTGGAGGCCCAGTAATTCCAAGCCCGCCTTGATCGTTCTGCTCCAGGTCTTCAGTTGACCACCGAGTCGACAACGCTATCCACGACACAGTGCGGGGGCTGCAGCCTGTCGCGAGAGTTGAGTTTTGGGCCTTTGGAGCACATGGCCAAACCACTGACGGCGCCTGCGTTATAGCATTTTCGAAAGCTTGCCAATATTCGAGCAACACCGTCGAAGTTCATCATTGGAAATCCGATGCCTCCAATTTACTTTCGAGATGCGGCGTAAATACCAGTGGTTAAAGACTTCGAGCTTCTTTGTATATTGTACTCTTAGCGGCCAGGTCTCACAACCATAAGCGAGGATGGAAGCCTGGTAGACCCGAAGTTTAGCGTTTAGGTTTATTTCACATCGATTCCACAAAGCTCTGAGGATTTACTGAAAGCCTGTTCCAGCTCCGTCTACATAGACTTGGATTTCATCCTTAGCCTGGCCGTTTGGCCTGATTGTAGAGCCAGGGTACTTGAAAACTTCGGTTGGTTCCACATGCTCCCCGTTATTCGGGAGGGGTTGTGTCATGGCATAAGTTTCGGTCAAAAATGTATAAATTTTTGACGTGTTGATCTCTAACCCAATGGCCTGAGCAAGCTGGTTTATTCGACTGAGAACTGGCTGAAGATTGTCCGTGGTGTCTCCAAGTGCAATAACGTCATCCGCTAACTCGCGGTCAGCAACCCATGTACCTGGGCCAAGCTGCACTCTGATCAACGAGTGCTTGTTGCATTACCCAATCTACAGTGTAATCGACAAACACCGGCCGTAGGGGACAACCTTGCCTAACTCCAGAGCGTAAGGTAAACTCAGTTAATTCTTCTACGTAGGTACAGACGCGTGCCCGGGTTCCTGAGTAGTATGACTTTAAAAACCTGATGAAATTCTCATTGGACCGCAATATGCACCACAAGGATCCTCCATCAACAGAGTCAAACGCAGCTCGGAAGTAAATGAAACATGCTGTGGTAGGCTGTTGGAACTTGTACCGATGTTTCTGAATCCTACGGAGAGTGAAGGTTTGNTTCCTCGGCGGACCCCCCCCCCCTTGGTTCGGGCGGGTGTGGGTATCTCTAACGACTGCAAAGCGATCAAGTAGTATCACTGCAAGCAATTTGACCGCAATATCAACTGAGCTACTACCCATGTAAGTTTCGCATCTAGTTCTGTCACTTTTTTGGAACCGGGACTAAAATTGAATTCACGCCAAATCTTTTGGAGAAACTTCTCTTACCCAAATGGAGTGGAAAAAGAGTGCAGCGGATCGATCAGAGTTGGTGCTCAGGCTTTGAGTAGCTGTGGTGGTATCCCGTCTTCTCCAGAGGCCTTCCTGCTTTCCAGAGAAGTGATTGCATCGACGATTTCTGTCGTACTAGGTGGGTCAAAATTGATGCAGTGGGTCTCCAAACTTCTTGACACCTGCGGGGAGCCAGGTTGCTTTGATGGGCGGTTGAACAGCCCTTTCGAAGTGTTTGACCCACCTTTGCGTTTTCTGTTCAGTCCCCTGAATAAGTTGGCAGGTGCGGCTGCGCAACAATGGCTCCAATGTCTGTCTCTTTCCTGCTGCAACACGGATTCGACGGAACAGCTTTCCAAAGTCCGCTGCGACGGTTTCAGGCTCCATGCTGTCTACAATCGCCTTCCGGTATTCTTTACAGTCCCTCTTGTCGGAGCATGTGGTTTGACTATTTAGAATACGGAATTTAGGAGAATTGATCAGTCGCGCATCTCTTGCCTTTGCGGACAACTACAGTGTACGCTCGGAGATCCAGTCTCTTTTGTGGCGAAGAATCCTACCTAACTGCCCAGCGCCGCTTCTCTGATGGACGTTTTCAGTGTAGACCACCGTGCGTCCACAGATGAGTTATCAAAGGAAGTTGCGGTTATATTGGGAGCGGTTGCATCCAGCAGTGCCTGCCTTCTCTCAGGTCTTTGTAAGAGCGCGATTTTGAGTTTGACCGGGAGACGAGTCTTCCGGCGAGTGGTCAGGTGGATATTGAAGCGGGTGCGTACACTGGTATGGTGCATGCCGTTCCTGTTTCGTTTCTACACTGCGATAGAAACAGAAAGAAGTCTTCCACCGAAGAGGCCCAGCGAGCACGTACCAAAAGATAATCAATCGGGTGTGCCGTTCGACCGTCATTTGAGACTGAGAGGGTGCTGAATGGTGACTATCAAGATGTTGCTATGGGCTTGAGCCGTACCCGTATCCATTAACTCTGCTGAGGTATATAAATCCCTGAATTTGAATGTCTGTCCAGCCGGTGATTAGACAGACTGGACGCTGACGGAATAGTTCTTGATTTGATTCCAGGGTAGAGTAATTAACAACATTATCTTGGACAAATGCAGGGATAGCGACGTTTCTATATCAAGGAACCGAAGTAATCAAGTTTCACTTGGAAAGGTTTCATGTTTTGCTTTCTTGTTGATCGCAGACATTGATTGTAGACTCGCACTTAGTGTTTGGAGTATTTCTAGAAACCCACGTCTTACTGCTGACTACGGTGCAACATATATGATTAACTTTTTTAGGGCAGTCTTGCTTCCCTTATGTGGAAAGTGTGCATATTTCGAAGTGCTTTTCTCGTGTCTTTCTGCGATAATGGAGCGCGTCAGACGATCACGACCCCATACAAGGTTCGCTAGAGGAGAGGATAACCTGTTGTAAAATGTTCTTTTCAAAGGAGAAAGCTTTTAATTCACCACCAAGGGTAGCAGTTGCCAGGGTGTTTCTATCGATCGCTCTTGTGGAGTTTGGTACGGTTTCCTTCGGGAGTACGGGTTGCGAAATGGTTTAGATGAATTCAGAAAGCAACTCAAATAGAAATGTCCAAATTTTTCAAAGAACTGTTAATGGAACAAATATTGTTTGAGAAGGCTAGAAGTGGGGACTTAATCATAGAGAACGGGTGTTTACGGAGAGGATTAGGATGACAGAAAAATAAATTCAAATAACCGGCCCTTCAAAACAAAAGAGAAATCTAGTTTGATATGCGGTTGTCCGTGTATATAAATAAGGGGTGTCTGGAATCAAATGAGTGTAAAAAATGAGAAAGAAAAAAAGGTTGGACACAATGGTACACAAAATCCATGTGGCGGTTCAGTCCGTAAAGGGTGAACGGAACTGTCCGTACGCATGAATTTGCCAGCTGTACTTTCATGTCGATTGACTCGAGAAGGCTAACAATGTTATCCTTTATGACTATTACGTCTGCAAATTCTTTTGTACAACTAGATCCCCTATTCACCACCATCTGCGTGTAGGCTGATCCTATTGCTAGGCCACGTATGGCACGTAATTTAGCTAGCTCCTGATGTACTCAAAATTTATCCCCGGTAGAATGGATACTCATGTCACGCGATACCGGCGCGTCTGCTTGTTTTCCTCAAATTTGTCTCTAACATGGCATATTTTCTTGCGGTTGTATTACGCAGACACATCTCGTCTATCGATCGTTGCACCAGGGGCCTGTGTTTGCGTATTTTTTGGTAATCGCGCACAATCACTGTGTTGTCCCCCGCCGGTGCTTACATGCTTACGTATCATGTATACATGCATTGGCACACGTATGCCTATGGGTTTATACGCTTTCAGAGATTTGACGTGCGACTACGACTCTTAAATGTATGTCATTTGCTAGGTGATATGTGATTTCTTATCGACGTACTTTTTGTAGATGTGAGGTGTAGTGATGAATGGTGCTGCTCCATCGTACTTCTGATTCATGGACCCAATCTATTCATTTTAGGCAACAGTTGTTGTCGTATAAAGGTGAATTAGTTTTTTATCTTCCTTTAACAATTCGTTTCTAACATCGTATTTGTCTAATTTTTGTTCTCAGACTTTCGATTTTTTTACAATTAGCTAAATCCCCAGTTAGCCATGAGTACTGTACGGTTTTGCTGGGAATAGTAACTTATTTTGGAACTTGTTAGTTCTTGAGTTGGATGCTGACACATTGTGAAGGAAAAGACTTCTCTTTGAAAGTAATAAATGTCTGAACGCCATCGTTGAACAGCCTTTTTAGTACCACTCGGCAACGATGACTCGCTGTTTGCGTCTTTGGCTGACATGCGAAAATACTTGAAGAACAGGCCCCGAAAGTCGATTGTAAAGAGCAATCTACATATTGAAGCTGATACACACAGTATGGATGTGAAACTATATGGCGATTGCTAGGTGATTGAAAAACAGCGGTAGGGAGCGGATCAGCGCTAGTGTCGATGACCCTACCCCAAACACGGTCGGACAGGGGAATGATGGTTACTTCAATTTTATACGATCAGTTTTGTCTGAAGGGCCAATTAGCTTCTTAGATAGCGTCGACGGATAGATGACAATCGGAGCTGAAGTTATCGCAGAATGAGATGCAGCCCAGGGTTCCGCGACATACATCGTAAACCGGGGACCGGAGATTCGAAATTTCAACATTCCATTCATCAACACCAAGTCACGTTCATCAGAGCGGCAGTGCTAGTGTAGGGATACGAGGGCTGTTTGTGATCCGTCATAGGCACTACCGTATTGCGGCCATATTTCACAACGGTAGAGCAGTATTGCACTACAGAGTTTTAGAGGGTTTTAGGGATTGGATACTGCATGAACCTAATATAAACAAGTTTTCGGTGAGAAAGTAATTATCACCTTAGCTAACATGTTACAGTTGCACAACACAGAGTACAATATAAAGGAAAAGAAGAAAATTCCTGATACGGAATGTTAGTTCTCAGTCATAGCTATATTGGATTTTGTTCCAGTTCATCGGATAACCGTTTCGTACAAAACAATAATCAATAAGTGTAGTGCGCAACGGAGTTGTGAAAAGCTGCGGAGCACGTGTATAAGTGTTTACATTAATTGCAGATACCAGAGGTGTATATAGAGCGAAATTGTGTTGGATGCATGGGATATGAGGTATCAGCCGACAGTGAGCCACAAACGATTTCATCGGAGGAGGTATTAGTTGACGATAAGGTCAATTACAGCTGCATATGAAGCACTTCTAGATTGCGTTTAAAAGTGTGTCTTATCACAGTTCAGTCCTTGAACTACCGGTCGGGGAATATATCAGGGACCGATAGGCGCTGTGGTAAGGTTAATCTTTGGAGTTGACTTTCGTGACGCTCACCGGCAAGTGCGCTGCTCAAGAGCAGTTTGGATACCCTGGATAGTTGGCCACATCCGAAAGACGTATGAATTGGCCCCCCCCAGTCACCGGCTTCCAGAGAATCGTGGACTCCCTACTCCACCCCACTGCCTTTTAGGTCAGATTCTTCAACCAAAGGCTCCGGGTAGGGTCCTCCAAGAAAACCCTCTACTTCGGCTTGGACAACCGGGCAGTACCACGCCCACAAACTAACCATGGACTTGGGCGTTCACGCATTTCACAGAATCTTACACTTCTGCAAAGTTTTCTCTTGTAATCTGCACGCAACACATCCACCCGCCCCCCACACAACACCTCCATCTATCCACTGTATGTCCCACCTCGGACGGTTCCACTGACGAAGGTGAATGTTTCAGCTCGCCGCTATCCTCCTTGATATTGGTTTCGGCATTGCCTTGTCATTCAGAGCCGATCGTTCCATTCCTCCGACCTCACTCTGCGTTCAAACTGACTTCACTCAACGTTAGAACTCTAATGCGTACAAGACAACAATTAGTTTTAGCTCGTACGCTCGAAAATCTAGAGTTTGATGTGTTTTGCTCCTCGGAAACGCATTCAGGTTCCGAGCTCAGTGATCCGATTAACGTTTCCTTCCAATCCAAAAGAAGCGTTTCAACTCCTCGTTTCCGAGGTCCCTACTGCTTCAGCCTCTGGTCAAGCAGGCGTTGGTATTGCCTTAAGCGCCAGGGTCGAGGCTGGCCTATTGGACTGGATCCCGATAGATAGCCGACTATGCGCAGTGAGACTCAGAGGCTCAGGCAAGGTCAAAAGGCAGAAACCAAGTGAACGATGCTTATTCGTGGTTTCTGCATAAGCTCCCACAGACTCAATACTGCTAGGTTGCGCAGAACAAGGCAGGTTGATTTTTTGAGGACTTCACAGTCGGAACCATCGGCTAGCCAAAGCCTGACCCGCAAGACGGCGGGAGATCTCTCAACGCATAATCAAATGTGAATTAGCGTTCGCTAATCTGCGGCAATTCTGGCGCCTGCGCGACATCCCTTTCACTGAAAGGGCGTGCTCGACGGTACGCATCATGTTGCTCTATGGCTGCGAAACCTGGCCTCCGAGCAGATCGCGTTCAACGACTATCCGTGTTCGACAACTGTTGTCTGCGCAACATCGCCCGCATGTGGTGGGAGCATCGCATGAATAACAATGACATCAGACGACGGGCGCCAGGATCAGGTAGTCTTCCGTTGAGCAAAATAATTGCACAGCATCGTCTTGGGTGGCTAAAGCACGTCCTACGAATACCCGAGCAACGTCTACCACACCGCGCACTATTCGCAGACATCGGTTCAGGCTGGAAACAGCGGGGTAGGCAGGCTATGACGTGGCGCAGAAAGTTAAAGAGACTGTGCTCGAATCTGGCTTCCGTTGGGGATCCCCGGCTGCGACCCCAAAGATTCAGATTGTCTTTGGCTGGAGACACTGTGGGATATGTTATCGAATCGAAGTCAGTGACGTGAATACATCCTTTCCTGTGTGCAATCCCAAAACTAAACGAAGACAATAAAATAACTCAAAATGGCGTGCAGTAAACAAACAAAAAATTCTTATTCTTCAGGTTGACTATTTTGTTTCCCCCGTTTCTGTACCTATATTTTTTCGTGGTTATTTTGGCGCCGTATTTGTAATATCAGTTTTCCTACCCAAAGTAGAGTTTGTGGTTTATAATAATACCTTTTGAGTTCAGGAAGGAAGCTCAGGATATTTGAATTCTATGACCTTTCAGTGATTAAATGAGATTATTGGAAGCGACCAAGAACTCAACATACATTACAAACTAACCGTTAGCGGAATAGAGAATTGCAGCTCACTGAAAGGGATTGCACACGAAATACCTCTATCGCTACACAATTCAGTGATTTCATGATTGACGGTACCCTCGGGTTAAGCAGAGCTGAATGGTACCGGTCCCGTTCCCGGGTTGTGGATAGGGAGATACCTCCGCTGAGGAAGGTTAGCTGTGAATAAGTTGTGGCATACCGCAACAAATAAGCAGTCGCGAACACACACTGGCGACCCGATCACGGTGTGGTGGGTTTCAGATTGGTCACCTGGCTCCCGTTTAAAAGATGCATGAGCCCAATGACGGTGTCGTGTGAAAGGTCGATGTGACTGGCCTTTGAAAGCTAAAGTCATTAACCCCCTCACTTCCGAGGCGAGGGCTTACTTCCTGTTGCCTTGCAGTTCGCACTTGGTTGTGCAAAGGCTAGAAGTGCACCCTCAAAATTAAAAAAAACACCAAGTGACGCTGGGGACGGCTTTCGTACCATACTCCCAATTAACTTCATGATCATAATCGTGTCTGGAGCCGGCTAATCTGATTGTTCATTAAGGGAAGGGTGTACATCGCCGTGATCCGTAGTGTTCTGCTTTACGGTTGCGAGACCTGGCCTTTCCGAGAGGAGGATGTTAATCGACTTTCTGTTTTTCGACCACCGATGTCTCCGAAGCATTGCTCGTGTCTGGTGGGGACATCGGGTGAGCAACGACGAGGTCCATCGTCGTGTGTTGGGTGTGGATAGTCGTTCCCTAACAGAAATAATCGCTCTACACCGTCTCCGGTGGCTTGGTCACGTGTTGCGTATGCCAGCCCATCGACTACCTTTCCTTGCTCTCTTTGAACGTGCCGGGTCAGGCTGGAAGAAGCGCGGTGACGATCAGACCATGACATGGCGTAGAGGTATGGAGAAGCTAGCTTCCGCTTTGGCTTCGGCTGATGCAGCCCACCTTCCAGTTTGGGGTCTAAGGGATGAGGGTTGTCGTTGGTTAAAGATGCTCAGAGATATGGCCCAGAGTAGAATTCAGTGGCGCAAATGCCTGTCGAAATCCCGTGCCCCGTGAGAGCAACAAACAATACAAGAAGATCTTAAACAGTTACGTCTTTTTCCCCATACTGTCTATCCCAACCCCCTCGTTATTGTTATTGGTAATATTGTGGCGTTGGCACCATGCTTGTTCTCAAGTCGGTGTTAT